GATGGTTGGACAGTGTCACCGAAGTGACCAACATGAATTTGACCCAACTCCGGGTGCCAGTGGAAGACAGGAGGGTCTGGCGTGCTCTGGTCCATGGGGTCACAAAGAGTCGGACACAACTTAACGACTGAACAACAACAACAACAAAACTACATTGAAGTGCTCTATAGTCTGAAAACCCTGAAATGGATCACTATAAGTCAGAACTGACTTGACAACACATAATTATCAATATGTCAATATAGCTCATATCTATGAATATTTTCAAACACATGTGGACAGGCTCCAGAAAGTCCAAGGGCTAGTCTAAGTATTTTAAAAGGTGACTAATTTTGAGATACTACTTGCACAACCAGGGCTCCACTGAACATGTTAGAGGTTCCAGACACACAAGTGTCCTTGTTGTCTGCATTCCCTTTTAATTCTTCATATATACTGTATGCTGAGTTAACTGCAGCAGGAGTTGCTAAGTGTTTCTCCCCACCCTTAGTGGGGTGGGGAGAAACCTAGGTTGGATGAATTGCATTTTCACCCAGGACTACAATCCAACTGTGCAGGCAATCCCACTTATGCATCCCCAGGCTGCGGGCAGGCAGGGCTGGCCCTAACATTTGGTAAAGTAAGGGGAGCAGATGTTGTATGTCGGGAAAGGACAATAAGTAGTTAGTTATTTAATAAGTTATATTTCTACTATCAGAAAGGAGGAGACACTAGATTTTCTGCTCCAGGCACCAAAGTAATTTGTCTGGCCTAGAATATCATTCTTCTTGGATTGGGGAGCGAGCAATGCCATTTGCTACACATTTTGTCTTGGGTCAGCCCCCAAATTTAGCGAGCAATGCCATTTGCTACACATTTTGAGGTGGCAAAAATGTCTTGGGTCAGCCCCCAAATTCCCACTGATTCCCAAATATCCACTGAATCAATTGGGCCTACTCTAGTTCTGTGTAACTACTACTGTACTAGATTTCAGCCACAGAGTAGGAATTTGCCACCACAAGGTGCAGTGATGATGGTGTTTAAAAGGAGGTTAGGAAAATGCATAGTGGATATGTATGCTGCCATGACTATTAAAAAGAAAGGAGGTCCATAGCTTTCATCAGATCCTCAGAGAAGTTTATGACCCAAAAAATAGCTAAGAGTCACTGAGCCCGAGACACTTTTGTCTCTTCTAGGCTTTTCTGATGGATTTTACTTTAAAGACTACATCTTTTCATCTTTTGCTGGGGAGTAAAGGTACAATACTGGTGTGCTCTGGTTCATGGGGTCACAAAGAGTTGGACACGACTTAATGACTAAACAACAACGGTACAAAATGAATTGCACCAGAGCACAGAGTGCTGTCCTCTGAAGATGCCGGCCACAGAGACTGATGGAACGTTAGGAAGAACAACCTTCAGAACATGGCCAAAGAGCCCGAATAACCCACAACAACCAATTGCTAGTGAGTCGGGCCAAATCAAAATCAGGATCATAATAGTAGCAAAGTATCCCTCTCCCCCACACACATACACACACAGAGATGTCTTAATGCTACATATTCCAGGATAAAATGATGGTGTGAGGGGAGAAACTCCTCTGTTAAATTCCCATTTGGAGCAAAGTCGAGATGGATAATATAAGAATGACAGACAGCTTCCTTAGAGGCAGTGTTAATACACAATTAATTTCTAATAATGTGCCTCAGTTACTAATTCTTCCACAACCTGCCCACCCTTCTATGGCACAATTTGTGTGAACTGTTCACCATGGGGTTGTGTTGCAAAACCTTTGGCAGGTTCAGGGACTTCATATGCCCAAGCATATTTCACTCTGAGCCAGGATTCTGTTCTTCAGTACCAAGTTTGGTGAAACTTCATTGTGGGGCCACTGTCTGTCTATGTTTACAAATTGCTAGCTTTGGCACTGAATCTTGCTTGGCTCTTGTCCCTGTTCCTCTCTCATTCTTCAGTGCCCTTCCTTCTTAATGTTGCCTGGCATTGCTCACTGTACCTTTATCTTATCCATCAGCTGGTCTTTTCCTTGCAGAATGTTGCTGGCTGAATCATCCCCTGCAGGCTGTTTTTTATCCCTCCCTTGGGAAACCACAACTTTAACTTCTGAAAAACTGGGCTTTATGGGGAGGGGGAAAGAGTTGAATGGACAAACATACCAATTTCATCTCATCTGTACCTTTGATGGGGCTTGTCCCTCATTATCCGCAATGTCCAATTCTATGTGTTTTTCTTCCACGGTGGGACGGGTTTATACAATTGTATCTCTCTCTCTCTAAAAGTGGTTTTAGCTGTTTTTATTATTTCAGAAAGTTTGTAAGCTGCCTTGAGATATATTTTTTAGTGGAAAGGCAGGGTGTAAATGTGATTTTAAAAAAAGCTTCTGTGGCTTACGGAAACTCTGTTTTCAGCCTTGTCAAAATAATAATTCCATTTAGTCAAGATATTTCACAAATAACAGTGCAAGCAATTGCACAAATCATTGTGATTAAGCTAGGTGTCACTCTGAGAGCTTTGAGAGAACAACTGTGGAGTCCTCCCCTTGCACCCACCCAAACAATATCTGCTAAAACAATCAATTAAGATTTCTACTATATTGCCTGAATACCATAGTTGTTTCTTGACACCCAAAGGTTCTGGCTTTCTAATTCCACCCCACCTCCTTTTTAAAATAAAGGCTGGGGCAGGTCTCCCTTTCCCTCAGCTGCAGCAGTTGCTATTTTTAAGGAAATGCTGCACAATCTTGTCAGTAGCTCAACTTTTTCACACTTTCTTTCCCTCAGAACTGTAAGGGAAAAGCACCATGTAGTGATTTATGGCGTTGGAGTTTCTCAAGTTACTGTATAACTTCTTCCTCAGAGACCTCATTCTGTATAAAGGCCATGCTCCAGTTTCCTGTGCCAAATGCCCTTGGCACAGGAACTCCCGCGCTATTCTCAGTGGTGAGAATGAAGTAAGGTTTTCATTTAACCTCAAAGTTATGTCAACATCCTCACCACCTGACCCACTCAGAAGCTTTGTGATACTTACTCTCTGGAGCAAACAGCATCCAAACTGAGCAAACTGCACAGTCAACCAAGTGTGAGATGGGGGCACTAGATCACGGCAAGGGCCATCCAGGCCTACAGAAGTGAGGTTTTCTATGCATGGGGAGTGCTGTCAGCATACAGTCTTCCAAGAGGAACATGGAGTTTGTTGTGTGCATTGCCTGAGTGGAGGAAACCCCCTGGTCTAGTATGATTAGAACAGTAGGTTTTTTAAGGTCTTTGTAAAAGTAGTTTTGTGATAAAATGATACTATCATCTGCTTTAGTAGGTCTGTGCGATTTATGACCCAAGAACAGTGGGGATGTATGTGTGGTGTATGTGTGATCACCATGTGATGTATGACCCTTTCCATAAAAGAGAATGTTGTGACGTTTAGATAAACACAAGTAGAGTTATTGTGATCTTTCAGCCCTGGTTGGACCATGATCTAGACTGCAAGTACAGGTTTGAAATTTCAAATATATATATATATTCCAATGCACCCTCTTCCTCTCTCATCCCCACCACTCTTGTACTCTGAAGTAATAACATGTTACTGCAGCATGTGACTCTGCTTGTTATGGGGCAGAGCTCTTAATTTTGTTTTGTATTATCTTGCATTCTGGTGTTGCTTCAGCCACTTGCTTTTCATCTTTCTTCCTCTCTAGAATTACATACTGCAGTCCTGCACCAGCTCACATGAAGGTTTAACACTCATTGCACTTAGCATCAAGAACTTCCTGGTACATGTGAATGGTCCACCACAGAATAGTCACTTGTTTATACAGATAAATCATGTACTACTAGCAAGGGTCAGTGTGATGCACACGTGTAAAACAGCACCCACCTCCCCCACAGAAATCCCTCAAAGGATTGGTTTCCTCAAAAGATTTCTTGTCTTTACTGAGACTGACCAACATATGTACTCCATCCCATGCCTGGAAAGTTTCCCTTTGCTCCATTGTTGCAGGATGGGTCAACCACTGCATCGACTTCTATGTACCTTCAACGTCAGCTTCCAAACAATGGCAACAGATTGTTCATTGGACATAATATATTTAAGCTGAATAGAAGAAATAACATGGGGTAATCTTGAAACAGCTCCAAGTTTCAACCTGACCTACTGCATTACCCCTACCTTTCAGGGTTGTTATGAAACCGTGTCACTCGGAGATTGTTGAAGGAAGAGTGGGTTATGATGTAATGAAGTTAAATATCAATTTATCAGGGGAATTGTAGCCTGCTTTTTAATATGGAATGATGACTGAAAGTAGCTGCTACCAATTAGTATGATGATATGAGGGCTACCTGGGAGTAGAAGACCTTAATAGCCTATAGAGCATGTTTCAAAACATTATTTCCTTGTGCACCTATTGAGAAGATAATATCTTGGTATATGCATCAGTTGTGATGGGGATGGATACCGCTTGGAAAGTTTTGCTTTCTTTTTTAAATTTTGGCTAAGGGCCATGCTGGGTGAAGGACTGTGGAAGTGGTAGTTGTCAATCCAGCTGCTAGCCCCAAGCAGGGTAAACATGCAACTGAATCAATGGGATCCACATAAATCATGACTTGGTATTCAGCAACTGAGTCAGGAGTTAGGACTAGAATCCGAGTTTTATGTTATGTGCCATCAAATCATGTCTGACCTATGGTGACCCTAATAAGGGTGTTCAATGTTATGAAACATTTAAGGAGTGGTTTGGTCAGTGCCATACACATCCCTGTGACTTTCCACAGCCAAGTGGGGATTTGAACCCACGTCTCCTGAATCTTAGTCCCACACTTTATCCACTACACCTCACTAGCTCTCAGCAACTGGATTTACCCACCCATCCGCAATAATAACTTTTCCAAGTTCTGATATGTAACTAACTATAATAGCATAAATCAGTTGGAAAGATAAATATGCACAGGACTCTGCTTTTTCTTGAGTAAAATGCTTTATTGATAAGGATACTGAATCTTACTCTTCCCTGAACATAACATCTTTATGCATAGGGACAAAATTTTTATTATTTTTTTTTTAAAATATACATCTTTCTTTGCATAAAATACTCACTGCCATTTGTATAGATAAAAACAATATTCAAGAATAATCTTTCCAAATAATATACACATGACTTCAATATGATCAACAATTTGAAGGGTACAATGACTGTTATTATGATGTGGTGACAGACAGGGAATGATGGCCTATATATGGCAGGAAAAAAAAACAGAGGCCAAACATACCTCTGGGGGCCTTGGGGGCCAAGCCCATCTTCTCTCATTGGGGATGACACCACATTCTACAGCAGCCCAGGTCCCAGAATTCTCTAAGTGTGACAAAAAGAAATGTTAATAGGTGACTTTTAGATTGTGTGTTTATTTTCAGGTGAAACCATAGCAGTCTTTATTAATTGTCACTTTGATGTATATATAATAAGTTTTTGGCCATTTCTTATTAGAATGATTTGTTTAAAGGATACAAATCAAGGAGCAGCCTGATATCATTTTATGACATTATTTTTACAAGACTATTTCAGAGTGAATTAAAGACATGAAAACAACGTTCCACCCAGCTGACCAATTTAGAGAAGCTCCTACTGATACAGTGAAGAAGTTAGAGAATATCATTAAACATGGCCAGATGAGGCAGCAGGTAGCTGTATTTTTCCTTAATGAAAATTTAAAGACAGTACATGAAAATGATATTCCTCCAATCCGGTAGAACGCTAAGTTAAGGACATTCAATTACCACCAAGATCCAATTTATCTCTGAAGAAGTACTATTTGTTGATCAGAATTTATTGCCTGAAGTGAACTGTTAGGCTGGTGACTAGCAATATAATTACTTTTTGCAGCACACCATGGCAGCACTGTTTATATTTATTTAATAGACAAGACAATATGTTCAGTAGGTGGTTGTTTTTTCAATTGTGCCATGAAGCACCAAGAGCAGATAATTTTAATAAAAGGAATGTATCTTATACTCATGTCTCACCTTGTGGAACAAGAAAAAAAAATCAACAGGAGTAGGTAAGAATTAAGCAGCAACCCAGAATCAGGACTATTTGAGGAGCAACAGCTGTCAGAAATTAATAGCCATAACTAGGGCATAAAATAATTTTCTTCTCTTCAGAAAAGGCTCCTTGGTTATAATACATTTGCACAGCATTCAGCAGTGTTTCATATTTTGAAGAAAATCATGAACGGAGGGTCTTTCAGCACTTGATGAGATCAGGTGTTTCGGGGTGCTAAGGAGAAGGTAAGCACATAGCTGCAAAAAGAACATATGATTCCACCGCATCTCACTACTGTAAAAAAAAAAATGATATGGATTACAGAAAATGTATTTGCCTTTGGTGAAGTCTTACCCATTGTGCCCCAAAAGTCTATTTCTGTCCCATGAGAAAAGGATCTCAAGATAAAGAGAGAGGCGTATTTATTTTATTTATTTATTTATTTATTTGGACTTATATACCGCCCCATAGCGCTACAAGCACTCTCCGGGCGGTTTACAATTTTTAATTATACAGGCTACACATTGCCCCCCCAGCAAGCTGGGTACTCATTTTACCAACCTCGGAAGGATGGAAGGCTGAGTCAACCTTGAGCCGGCTACCTGGGATTTGAACTCCAGGTCGTGAGCAGTTTTTAGCTGCAGTACAGCGTTTTAACCACTGCGCCACGAGGCTCAGTGTTCATTTGAAGACGCTCCATCTTCAGTACCTTCTCTCAACACATATTAAGCAATAAGGATGGGGGGGATCACAGGAGCTCTTGCCAGTTAAAGTGGGATGCTAATTATTTTCATAGGTTCAGTATTCTTTTCTCTGCGGGCTTCTCTATTGACTTCACCGAGAGGCTCATTTTTTGTGCAGGGCATACCCTTCACAAACTGAATGAGAAAGCCCTTCTAAGCAAGAGAGATCAATTCATGCATCAGTGCTCCCAAAAGGCTTTTTACTGTGACAGAGAGACATCCAGATAGCCAGAGAGGTATCCAGATGAAATAATATAACAAGCTAGTTAAAACTGGTGATGGTCATTTTCAGTGGCCATGATAGAGTAAATAAAGAGAAGTCACAATCCAGCGCAAAGTGAAGAGTTTTTGTGCTTTTTTTATTTCAAATATTCAGTAGTCACAATTCAACACAGAGCTCAATATGTTTAACAAGATAAACCTACCCTTATCTTTGTGTTGGGTTATGGCCAATAGTTTAAGAATAAAGGAAGGCGCTCATTCTAGGTGGAACTGCTTTGGCTTTAAACGCACATTGCTGATCTTGGATTTAAGTGGTTGCACTGACACATTGCACTTTTAGAGTTTTATGTGTATTCCAGTTCAAAAAAAGATTCTAGACATGACCAAACACATAGAGTGAGGCCTGAAGCTTAATCAAACTTCTGGACAAGCCAGGAGATGAGACAACTGAAAGGATATGCGATACTCATTTGCAGGTATTCAAAGGACTGTTAAACAGGAGATGAAGTACAGTGGTGCCTCGCAAGATGATGTTAATTCATTCCACGAAAAACGCTATCTTGTGAAAATATCGTCTTGCGAAACGTGGTTTCCCATTGGAATGCACTGAAATTCATTTAATGTGTTCCAATGGAAAGATTGTCGTCTTGCGAAAATCGTCCATAGAAAACATGATCTTGTGAAACGTGGTTCCCCATTGGAATGCATTGAAATCTATTTAATGCGTTCCAATGGGGATAAATCGTTGTCTTGCGAAAATAGTCCATATGAAACCATCATCTTGCAAAGCGCAACAGCGATTGCAAAAACTAATCATCTTGCAGATTAATTGTCCTGCGAGGCAATCGTCTTGCGAGGCACCACTGTAACTTGTATTCTGCTATTTCAGGAGGTGGGACCTAGAGCAAAGAATACAAATTATAGGGGGTGGGGAGACTGACCAGTTTCTTTTTTTTAATCCTTCTTAATAGTATGGGCTGTTTGGCAGTGAAACAGACTCTCTGAAAATTGTGAGCTTTCCTTTACCAAAAGTTTTTAAGCAGAAAATGCAGGCCTTCTGTCATCTCACTTGTGGATTTGCTACATCAACATGGATTTTGACTAGCTGACTCTGGAGATCTCTTCTAAATTTAAAATCCTGTGATTCAAAGTCAAGGTATAGCAAGCCATCTGATCAGAGCCAGGGCATGAACAGTAGGCATGGTTCTCTTCCTCCTCTATGCATTCAGTGTACATGAAACTGTCATCTAAATAGGTCTTCTGTCCTTAGTTTTTTTTTTAAAAAAAAAAACTAAAATAAACCCAGCCTAGTCTTTTCAAATTAAAAATATCTATATATCTTAAGATTTTTTTAAAAAAATAGCTGAGTAAGACAAACGTTATGCCCATGAATTGAACCTATGATCTTTATTTGCTGGAATCAATCAGGATTTTAGACTTTGAACTATTTCCTTTCAGGATATAAAGCATCATCACAATGCGTACTATTCATAAAAAATTATAGTCTTGTTCACTTGTATACGTATGCAATTTATTCCTTAACAGCTTTTTTTTTATTTCAAAGGAATCAGTAGCTAATGATATCTCAGACTTTTTTTAAAAAAATCCACTTATTCACAAGCCTGTCCCTGGGGAAACTGCAATGTGTTATCAGAATTTTTTTACCAAAGATCATTAGCACATATTACAACCCAATTGAAACGGTATATTTTTTTTGCAATTACTTTTAACTTTAGAGCTGTTTTAAAAAAAGACATTGAGTGATTTAATTTACTTAACCTGTCTACAAATTGCTCCAATGAGCAATCGTCTCTGATTGCATTTACCAAAAATTGCAGATAACTATTACTAAGAGAGATTTTGTTTCTTGATAATTCCAGACCATACTAAAGCAGTGAAGATCTTAGCAAAGATTAATGTTTACCTCATTATTTAGAAAACTGCACTTAAAAAAAAGGAGGGCCTTTACTACTTGGTTTGCACCTTGGTATCTTAAAGAGTATAATACTCGTCTTTCTTTTAATAGATAGTTAAATGCAGCAACAGTAATCAGATTAGTATTTACTTTGAGAATATTGCTGTATATATTTCTTTCAAAACCTCTGCAGGTTTGGTAGGATAAAGAACTGATATTTCACATGAGAAAGTGTTCTTTTTTATATATATTAAATATCTAAACAAATTTCATTGTCATGGGTTAAACTTTCCAGCTTTAAGGAAAAAACCCATATAGGTTCTTCTGATTAAGAAACACAGTAGATCTCTAGTGAAAGCCCTCCAGAGAATCCAGTGGTTTGTTCCAACACACTGGTCTCCAGCTGGTTTGTCAGTCCCATCCTAGTGAGACCCAACATAAGCAATGTCATGTTGGGTAGTGGTCAAGTTCCATTAATTTTGCTGTTGCCATATACACAAATTTGAATGTGTCCAATCTTCCACTGCAAATGCATGTTGCAAGAGAAGCTTGCTATGACTCAGAATATAGAAAAGTAGACAGCTTTAACTCCCAGTGGCCACAGCAGCAGGAAAATCAATAGCTCACAAAGGAACTTTTTCAAATCATAGCCTCAATAGAGCTTTCATTTCTGAAACCCCTTAGTTAACAGAAGTTGTCTTTCTGAGACCCTGTCCCCTTAGCCATGCTTCCCATAAAGAAATCCATAAATAGACTCTTGAGCGGCTATCCTGGTTGGCAGATTCTGTGAACGGTAGTTGAAAAATATCTTTTCCAAGTGCTCATCCTGACTTTCCTCTAGCTATTAATATCTAGTTTTTCTCCCTCCCCAAATCATATTCATTTGAAAGTCTGTTGCATGAAATAATAAAATTCACTAGAGCTACAATTATAATTGACATTCTGACCTTGCATTTCTCTTTTGCGCGCGCACACACACACAAACACACACACACACACACCAACTGTTTATGTCATCATAATCCTATCTTCCATGTGCACTGAGTTGTGATTAATACTCTTTCATAAATCAAGCATAAGGAAGGGGAACAGTAGCAGAAATAATCCTGGATTCTAATAAGGCTACACAGTTGGGGTAGGAGAAAGTATGTTGCAATTTAGGATGGTAATTTATTATTTTGGTAAGCAGCAGCACACATGGGCCTTGTGATTCAATTCCACTGAGCCAAGTTCAACCAATTAGACTCCACAAACAACATAATGTATTACAAAGCCAATAACTGACAGCTGTCAAGGTTCTCACTTTCAAGATTTATTTTGCAACCTTGTTATGCACCACTTGTGCCCATCTTAATTAAGAATGTTAAAATGCATATATTGATACATGTCGTGTTCTTGGCATTGCTTGAATTCTCCTTTGAATATACAAAGCAGCAATGTTCTCTTGAACTTTTCACAGACGGATGGCGATATGGCACCCTTTTCTATAACCTTGTCTTGTCTTGAGCAAAGTCACCATCACACAGGATTGAGTGGGGTGGGGATCTCAAATGTAAGTATTTCATGTACTTGATTCCCCCAATGTCACAGGGCACTTATCCCTGCTAGACTGTAGACTTAAAAGTGGGGGGGGGAGGGGAAATCTGCAAAAAAACTGTTGTGCAAAATCATGGCATACAATCATGGAAATGCTCCCTACCCTTCTAATTCGATGCAATACCACTAATCTGGCAAAGAAGTTCCCATCAGATAGGCTACCAATGTTATTTTAATGAGTATCTAATTGGCATTATGCACAGCTGGGAATTAGTGCAGGCTTAGCTTTCATGTTTAAAGGGAGGAAGTGTGAAATATATTGTTTCAATGTACACCCTACGAAAGTATAGACATGTGCAAGCTTGGAAATTTTTCTGTCACAGATGGGGTCAGCAGCCAAAATCAAGTCTGTTTCACTTGCTCTTTTGCCTGCCCTCTTTCTTGATTCTGTCCACTCCTGTGAGATAAAAAAAACCCTGCTCCCCACGAGATCTCTCGCTTCTCTTCTATTGATTTTTGTTACTGTATTGCTGTATTCCAGTCACAGATATGCACAACAGTGTCTCCTCTAAAGCAATAATGATACCATATTAAATTTATAAGTTAACACAAGAGCCCATTTCATCTGGCAGACTAAAGCCGGCAATCTTAGGCATACTTAACAGGGAATATCATGTGTCATCAAGTCAGTTCTGACTTATGGCAACCCTTTTTAGGGTTTTCTAGGTACAGGAGACAGTACAGCACTCAGAAGTGGTTTACCATTCCCTTCTTCTGGGGGGTGGGGCGTCCTCAGACTGTGCAGGTTGTCCAAGGCTGAACAAGCTGGTTCTTCTCTCTGGAGACACAGTCGGGAATTGAACTCCCAGCCTCTGGGTCTCTAAAACACTGTGACAAAAATGTATATAAATCATGTGGTTTATATTTTTGCAAAACAGTATGCTCAACATTATGTAATGAAGCTGCAGGTAATCAGTAAGTCTTTGCACTAGTGTTTATCCCACCTGGGCAGTGAACATTTACACAGACAGACAGACAGAAACCTTTATTGGCATACTGTACAAAATTAAAACATACTAAGATGCAAATAAAATATTCAGAAGGTAACATGTGGCAGGGAATAGCCAAATAACATTGTTAGGGCTCGACATTCAGCGACAGCATGAGGCATCACCTCTGCATGATGGAGGGTATGTATCTGGCTGTTGTCAGGGTAAGTTCCTTAATAGTGCCACCTAGGAGGTGTCGAATTTTTCTCAGGTCATCCCACCCAGAATGGAGGGAAAGGAAAGTGCTCAGATAAGAGAGGCAGATATCCTTATACAAAATACAGTAAAACAACATATGATGCAATGATTCAACCACTCCCTGACCACAAAGGCAGACTCTCAGTTCTGTGGGTAAACCCGTATAAGGGTGAATGCCCATCGGTCTTGGGGATGATCTAAAAGACAGAGGTAATTCGGTCTTCTGCCATGGGAGAGGGGCAAGTGAAAATATAGCAAGGAGCAGACCTTTTGTGCAGCACATTGCAGAGTTTGCCCCAATATCCAGAACTCTATTTCTGATTGTACGGAATACCTGGGATCGGGGTATTGAACCCAGCAGATCTGGTGACAACCCCAGGGTAGTGACAACATTTACACAGTCTGCCCCTTCCCCCAATACATTTGCCAGTTATTATGTGAATAAAATTATTCACATGTCATACAAGATTTTTTATGCAACTCTCCAAAACAGATTTGGGATGTTACTAACCAAAAATGCAAGTGCATTATTAAATTGCTCAAGCTAGAATACAAATCTAGTAGCAGATTAAAATTATGAATAGGAAGGGGGAGAGGTAAGAGTTAGGTAGGAGTTCAGAACCCTTGGCTAAAATTCAGGATTGGCCAATTATTTCCTCTCAGTTCTACATTCCAAAAATACTCAAGCCAGAGCCAAGAATGATGCAGCTTTGTGACAAGGAGGAGACGACTCATCACACAAGTGTGCCTATGAAAGGCCTTCTGGCTTCCGGCATCTAGCTTCATGCAAACATTTCTTGGATGTACTTAAGACAGATAGTTGGAATCAGCCCTATGTTTCCCAGAAGGCACAGCTCTTCTAAAAATGAGGCATACATATTAGAGTGCAATTTAAGAATAAATTACCCAGTTCCAGTCAAATTGGAATTATATTCTCCATACTCTCAAGATTTTAAATATTGTTTAAAAGAAAGTCAAATGCAATCTATATTGGGACAGCTCATAATGAATTCCAGCACAAGCAATCTTACTTTTTTCTAATTCTTCTATTTCTATGGCTCATATACCATATTCATACATTGTACCTAAGCATGTAGCAAGTTAGTATTTACTGTGTGCACAGGTACCTGAGTTTCACTTACTAGGCTGCTGAAAACATACTCACAAATAGTTTGCAGTAGCAGCATGTTGATTATTTTGCACTATAACTCCCAGAATTGCCCAGCCAGTATGGCTATCCAGGAGACTGTAGGAGCCATACCAAAAAAAAAAAAAAGCATTGCCAAGCTTTGCTGCAATATGAGTGGTTGAGCAACTATGTTTCTTCTTCACTTGTAATTCCAGACATGAGGCCTTATTGGGCTGCATTACAAAATGGAAGAACAGCTAGAGCAGGGGTCCCCAACCCCCCGGTCCACGACCCGGCAGTGGTCCACAGCCTAGGCAGGATCAGGCTGCAGACACAAATCTCCTCCCCCCTGTGAACGCCTTCCGACGAGCGTGCTCTGCCCCATGCGTGCATGCACGCAAGCAGCCTCCCACGGGCGCCACCACATGCATGCGTGCGAGTGCACTCGACCCTCTGTGAGCGTACCATGTGCATGCACATGAACGGCCCCCTGCGGGTGCACCCCCCCACAAGCATGCCATGCCCCACGCGTGAGCGTGTCACATAACTCCAACCAGTCTGCGATTGGGAAAAGGTTGGGGACCACTGAGCTAGAGGACACTGGATGGCTGTCTAAATTTTTCTTTTCCTGTCATGTGTGCACTCAAAACTTCCCCCAGCATTTTCTACCTGTGGAAGAAGAAGAAGAAAAAGGGAGGCAGGACAGGCTTGTATCCTTGCAAAAAAAAAAAAGCTGTTTGTTTGGGGAAGATTACTTTGACTGAAGAAGAAACAATTGAGCAGTCTGTCCACCCACCTTACCTCCATTTAGACTTGTACTCTGCTGAGGCTTGAATAAACATAGAGGAAAGACATAGGGAATTCCTTGTGTTGTGTAGTTAGGCCCTCAGTTGGAACTAACTGGCACAGAAACCAAGAAAGCTGATTTCTAAGCCCATGAAGTTAGGATTTGTTGTTTAGTCATTAAGTCATGTCCAACTCTTTGTGACGTCATGGACCAGAGCACACCAGGCCCTCCTGTCTTCCACTGCCTCCCAGAGTTGAGTCAAATTCATGTTGGTAGCTTCAGTGACCCTGTCCAGCCATCTCGTCCTCTGTCGTCCCCTTCTCCTCTTGCCTTCACACTTTCCCAACATCAGGGTCTTTTCCAGGGAGTTTTCTCTTCTCATGAGATGGCCAAAGTATTGAAGCCTCAGCTTGAGGATCTGCTCTTCCAGTGAGCACTCAGGGTTGATTTCCTTTAGAATGGATAAGTTTGTTCTCTTTGCAGTCTAGGGGTAGTTAGGATAAGGGTATTAATTGTTTCAAAGTCAATTGGACTAAAGATAGGTTCTCATTTTCTTTTTGAATTTAGGCATATAGAAAAGAATCCCAGATATGCCACCATTCCAGAAAGTATAATGGCACACATTTGCTTCAACTTAGGATTTTTAAAAGAGTCAAATATAAGATTCAAAGCTTACGTTCAGACCTACAGTACTATCTTACTATCTGACTGGGAAAACACAAAACAGCTAATATCAGATACCACTTTTTCAATATGTATGAAAGGTCCCATGTTAGAATGGATAAAGCCAGTTTTGTGTTAAGCAGGTGTATGTATGAAAGGTCCCATGTTAGAATGGAATATAAAGCCAGTTTTGTGTTAACCAGGCATATGAAAGGTAAAGGTAATGATTCCCCTTGACAGTTAAGGTCAGTCATGTCCAGCTCTAGGGGCCAATGCTCTTCCCTGTTTGTAAGCCAAAGAGCTGTCATTTGTCCATTGACATTTTCTGTGGTTACGTAGCCGGCATGACTAGATACAGAACGCTGTTACCTTCCCACCAAGGTGGTACCTATTCATCCACTCACATTTGCATGCTTTGAACTTCAAGGTTGGCAGGAGCTGGGACAAGCAATGGGAGCTCACCTTGCCACATGGATTCGAACTGCCAACCTTTCCATCAACAGCCAAGTAGGCTCAGCGGTTTAAACCACAGTGCCACCCCTGTCCCAACCAGGCCTATAAAGTTGACTTTATATCAGCTGGATTTATTTTTACACAATGTCTTGAGAGGAGTAAGTCCAAATTCTCTGACTCACAAAACACATGTATGAAATACAGAAACAATGTTACACTCAGATAATGTTGTGAATTCACCACATAGGTTTTCTCTGGAATCTACTGGCTTTTCATCGAGGCCTTTCAGTCCCATCCCTTTGGTACAATGAATAATACGTTACTTCATTCATTCATTCATTCATTCATTCATTCATTCATTCATTCATTCATTCATTCATTCATTCATTGTATTTATATCCCACCCATCTGGTCAATTGACCAGGTCAATTTTCTGCTATCATTCAAAGGGAAAGGAAAGGAAAGGTTTTAAAGAGTGGTTAAGGTGCTCACACAAAATGGCTTCCATCCAGAAAGCTGACGTTGCATAATTTAGGAACACAGGAGTTTTAATTCCCAAGAACGACAAGACCAAAAAACTGGACAGGGCCTGCAAGAAACAGATAATTGAGAGCCTTGATTAGAAGGGCAAATTTGTAATCAAAGACCCCCTGAAAAAAATCAATTTGTTAGTCATGTCTCATGCTAAAATGAACATGGCTTCCATGGTGAGGTTTTATTACACATCTTATCATGCAAAGCCTTTCTCTCTATATGTTGCTTCAACAATTTAGATGCGAGAACATGAATATCTGAAAGGTGAAAGTATGATTCTGTAGTGTTGTGTGCTGTGCTTCTGCTCTGGAGGCAGCAGCTAGCTGAGAGAGAGGCATTCAGATGCAATCAAAGAGGATCTCCGCTTCATTCAGCTCTCACATGACAGCTTGGATCATTTCGGATCTCTTCCAGCAGAGACAAAACAGCATCAAAAGCAGGAAAGCTTTTTTTTCCCACCCTCTTACTTCCAAAGATGAAAACACAACATCATTAGTCAAATTTACTCTGAACTTCTGCCTCCTCGTGTTGATTTGCACTCAGGTTGAGTAAACATATCTTTCCATCATGGTAAATAATGTAAAAAGCCTATCAGTAACTTAATTGCTTAACGAATGATACAGTGTACTATGTAGCAACTGTTTTCTACTATAACACTGAAGTCAAGGGCTTTTTAAAGTCACAAACAAAACAACAATACCTATTATATCTTGGCAGTAAAAAAATCCATTCCTTACTGAAACTTACACAAAAATGTCAATCCAGTTTTGAACAGCAACCCCAAAAATCCACTTTATCAAAGAGTTCCAGAGACAGACAAACATAAATTTGTTTTTGTTGATCGAAGATAGTTTCTCTCATGCTAATGCATTTAGGGAAACTTCAGTCTGACAAGTGATGACTCTATAATAGGAGCGAAGAGCATATGATATGCTTGGAAGCTCTGACAGTAAAAACAGCAGGTGGCCTCAAAAAGTAAGGAACAAATGTTCATCCACAGAACTCAGGAGGAAATATTTTTCATCACATATAGAGCATCCCCAGATATACCTGGCAGCAACAGATGTGGGTTCTTGCACACACAAATCCTTGACCCCAGGAAATCTGGAGGAGAAAGCTTCCTACAGAGGGAGGGAGGGAGGGAGGAGTAGCTGTTGAGAGGACTCTAAGAAGCAGGACTGTATACTATACAGGTTGTTTGCACTCTGCTGCATCAAAAGAACTCTGCTTTTAAAAATGAGAAAAAAACATTAACTACCTGAAGGCTTGGAGCAACTCAGTAACTGTTGCTGCTAAGGCAAAGGGCAAGATGGCATACATTTCCCCCACTCCCCAAGTCTACTTGCAGAAGCTTACAAGATTGGCAGTTTAAACCTTACTTCAATACTAGCAATCCTTCACCACACCTGAAGGCAACAGGCTAGCTTAGGGGTAGAAGAGAAGCTTCCTGGAACACACAAGTCTCTCCCCCAACAAAGTAGAATGGCCATCGGGCGGCAGCTTCTGGCATCTCCAGACCATTCAGTAACTGCTGCCCAAGGCAGCTGCCTCACTTTGACTCATGGCAGGGCTGGCCCAGCTGAGGGGAGAGGGAGAAAGAATCACAGCTTGGTGGCAGAATATATATATATTTTTAAAGGCTGTCATGTAGCAGTGCAGAGATGTTAGAAAATTTGTTGCCAGTGAGAGTAAGCAGTGTTGGGCCAGCTGGCCAGTGACGTGACTCAATACACAGAAGCTGCCAATGCCCGTTCCATATCCAAAAGCTGACTGGAATGGCAAGTGAATCTTTTTTCAACACCAGTGAAGTAATTCTAATACTTACCAGGTAATATTTCAGTGGTAAATCTCCTATATACCTCTTTCTTTTGCCTTCCCACTCCTATTAGGAGTCTGCCAGAACAAACTTCTCAGAATTCAAACTCATAGCTAAAAGCCTGCCCTGTTCCCTCTTTTCCTGTACTGGTTCCCCAATCAACATCACATCCATACACAATTGCAAGAGAGGTTTAAAGACATCCCCCAAAATTTCCCCCTGGAATTATGGAAGCACTACTGCCACCCACTTTGGAAAAGGAAGTCCCGTCTCTCAACACTGCAAGGCAACACACAACACTAGATGTCAACATGAAGAGCGGGAGGGAAGGAGGGGGAGGCAAAGACAACAGGGAAGTGCCAGAAAGCACACCACTGAAGAATAGGGAGACCTAGGTTTGCTATGTAGCTACAGACATGGGCAAAATGTGACTCCAGATGTTGCCGAACTGCAACTGCCAGCAATCCTAGCCCACACAGCCAATAGTTAGGAGTGTTGGGATTTGCAGTTCAGCAACATCTGGAGGGCCGCACCCCACCCAGGTGCATCAATGTCCATTAATATAACTTGGCTGGACATATCCTTTAAAATCTTTTTTTTTAATATTTTATTTAAATTTCATTCAGGACTTAAGCACAGGTTTTCTCTGAAGTCATATCACAAATCTGAAAAACCACCTCAGTCACCTCTCTCTGACATTAATAGCTCTAATTATCAGATATTGACAACATCTGTTTTGAACCTCATATTGCAGACTAAACTGAGTTTTAGTGTTGCTTTTTTCATTATTTTATTTTTTACTTTTTAATGACCAGAGAATTTTTATGTGTTAGCCTGTACATAAAGACAATATTTAAAAAATTCCTTAACATTCCCTTCAGTCAGTTAAGTGACTCTTATTTTTTCTTTCTCTTTTGATTTATGCCATCTGGAACTATTTATTTTAAATTAACTGTTAAATATTTTATATTGTTTTTAGTATATGTTGTGAGCCGCCCAAAGTAGACTACGTCTAGATGGGCGACATATAAATAAATATAAATAAATAAATAAATAAAAAGAATAGGGAGACCGTGTGGAGCCAGCCATTGTGGGAGGGGTGGGGAAAAAAGCACCCATGCCCCTCTTGACATAATCCTTCACCCCTCAGAGCCAGTCATTACAAATGGAACACTGTTCACCTCAGCTTCCAAAAACCTTTGAAAAATTCCCTCACCAAAGATCTTGAGCAAATGTCACATTCATGAAATGAAGTGAAATTCAGGTCCTCCTAGAATCTGTAGTGGGACCAGTTAGGGTTGAGCAGTGAGGTGACCGTGTTTGCTGATAACACTGAGTTATAAAAACAAATGCAGATGGTGAAGAAGAACTCTCCCAGCTAGATGAAGGGACAATAACAAAGCAAAGGAAGTTCAGTATAAGCAAAGGTAACGTAATGTATGCTGGGGCAAAAATAGTACTAATACTAGCACTAGTACTAATAATATATACATATATATTTGAAGCCCTAACAAAACATATGTGTTTTTGAGACCTGAGCTATCGGTGATTATCCAGGAAAGGTATCTTGGCTTGTAGTAAACAGTTCAGTTAAAATGACAATTCAATGTTCTTATGTTTTGTGTTTTAGTGAAGAACACTATAATCCACAAAACCATGTGTCACGATAAATGTGTTTGCCTTCAAGCTACTACAGAACTGTTTTGTTAGCTTTGCTACTTATTATGGCTTTTTTTGTGAAATCCACTGCCCTGAGTATGACATTGCTAGGGATGCTATTTTCCAACCTTTGGGGTGGTGAGAAGAGAAAGTGATTTCTTTTAGGAATTATTATCCCTAGTGGCATCAGTAGAAGATTTATTATATGCTCTGTCATCAGTGGTATGCACAAGTCAAAGGATGAGGATGTGAATGCTGGGCAATGCCTCTAAGCATTGGGCAGTAGCACAGTGCTATGAGGGCATGCCATTCGGTTTTTAGCCTTAATTTAGCATCCACTCATTACGCACATTGACATCCTATTCTACATCTGCACTCTGCACACACATACTGCACCCACACACTACACAGATTAATATCCAGGCACTTTACATAAGAGCAAGCCCTATCCATTTCCATAATATGTTTATCGGAGCAAATTGTTTACTGTGCCAGGTTTCTGTTTCTATTGCTTATCCCAAACCCAGATTTATACATGCAGATTTCACAAAGAGAGGCTCTTTGTGTGCCATCTTGCATGTGTGTGAATTGGGTGTGCATCTTTTGTACGCTTCTAATGCAAGCATCGAACGTAAAATGAAAAGCCTTTGGCAACCATTCCCTGGAGATGAACCACAGAAATAAATTATTAAAAATCCATCCATGTTTAAGCAGCACAGGGAAGTGAGGAAACACACAATGCTTTGGGCTGATTTTTGCTTTCATTATTTTCGGTGCCCAGATGATGGGGCTTTTAAAGTACAGTATGCCGGATCACTTTAGCTATTAAGTCAAATTCATTTGCTTAACCACAAATCTAGATAAACTGTGGTGCAATATACTTCTTAGAAGTCTAGAAACAGAGAAATTCTATGTTAAACTGAATTTCCTCAATGCATTGTTACTAATTAAGATAAAATGTCCTTATTTATTTCAAATACTGTGCAACTTCAGGGGGAAAGTGGAAGAGGAAATAACTATGTTTTAAAAGGAAAAGACTCTTCTATAACATAATGAGTATTAAAAGCACAACACATAAAACAGACAGGTTTGCCCTGCTAAATTTTACCAATCCCCTGTATCATAGTCCCCATCTTTTCTTAATGTCCTTATTCCTTTTGTGGCCTTTGTGATGTTTCAATTTAAAAAAGAACAAAACCAGACCCTTAGTACAAATACTGCAGGCATTGCAAAAGGTAGGTTTAACTCCCTACTTGACCCTGTCTGTGTTCTCAAGCTATTTTCTTCCACACAAGGGAACGGATGTTGTTCATGGATGTTGGGGGGGAATTAAGTGTTGCAATTAACTAATACCGCAGTAGGACAAAACCACCACCCCATGCTTTTGATGGGGCAGCCCACTCTCTACCCACAGGAAGCCTATTAAGGCACAATGCTTCTCTGTGTGCAGACACACAAGACCATACCACATGCCCCCAGGGATCCCTACTAGGTCTTCTTTCAGCAAACACCTCATCAGTCATATTAGCACACTACTACTGTGGGATGTTTCAGAAATGCAACCACACGTACAACACACA